TCGGGGTGTGTGTGTGGGTGTGTGTGTGTGTGACGTCTCTGAGCTCAGAGTCTCGGTGTGGGTGTGTGTGTGCGTGTCGTGTCTGCGCTCAGTCTCGGGGTGTGTGTGTGGGTGTGCGTGTGCGTGACGTGTCTGCGCTCAGTCTCGGGGTGTGTGTGTGGGTGTGTGTGTGTGTGACGTCTCTGAGCTCAGAGTCTCGGTGTGGGTGTGTGTGTGCGTGTCGTGTCTGCGCTCAGTCTCGGGGTGTGTGTGTGGGTGTGCGTGTGCGTGACGTGTCTGCGCTCAGTCTCGGGGTGTGTGTGTGGGTGTGTGTGTGTGTGACGTCTCTGAGCTCAGAGTCTCGGTGTGGGTGTGTGTGTGCGTGTCGTGTCTGCGCTCAGTCTCGGGGTGTGTGTGTGGGTGTGCGTGTGCGTGACGTGTCTGCGCTCAGTCTCGGGGTGTGTGTGTGGGTGTGTGTGTGTGTGACGTCTCTGAGCTCAGAGTCTCGGTGTGGGTGTGTGTGTGCGTGTCGTGTCTGCGCTCAGTCTCGGGGTGTGTGTGTGGGTGTGCGTGTGCGTGACGTGTCTGCGCTCAGTCTCGGGGTGTGTGTGTGGGTGTGTGTGTGTGTGACGTCTCTGAGCTCAGAGTCTCGGTGTGGGTGTGTGTGTGCGTGTCGTGTCTGCGCTCAGTCTCGGGGTGTGTGTGTGGGTGTGCGTGTGCGTGACGTGTCTGCGCTCAGTCTCGGGGTGTGTGTGTGGGTGTGTGTGTGTGTGACGTCTCTGAGCTCAGAGTCTCGGTGTGGGTGTGTGTGTGTGCGTGTCGTGTCTGCGCTCAGTCTCGGGGTGTGTGTGTGGGTGTGCGTGTGCGTGACGTGTCTGCGCTCAGTCTCGGGGTGTGTGTGTGGGTGTGCGTGTGCGTGACGTGTCTGCGCTCAGTCTCGGGGTGTGTGTGTGGGTGTGCGTGTGCGTGACGTGTCTGCGCTCAGTCTCGGGGTGTGTGTGTGGGTGTGCGTGTGCGTGACGTGTCTGCGCTCAGTCTCGGGGTGTGTGTGTGGGTGTGCGTGTGCGTGACGTGTCTGCGCTCAGTCTCGGGGTGTGTGTGTGGGTGTGCGTGTGCGTGACGTGTCTGCGCTCAGTCTCGGGGTGTGTGTGTGGGTGTGCGTGTGCGTGACGTGTCTGCGCTCAGTCTCGGGGTGTGTGTGTGGGTGTGCGTGTGCGTGACGTGTCTGCGCTCAGTCTCGGGGTGTGTGTGTGGGTGTGCGTGTGCGTGACGTGTCTGCGCTCAGTCTCGGGGTGTGTGTGTGGGTGTGCGTGTGCGTGACGTGTCTGCGCTCAGTCTCGGGGTGTGTGTGTGGGTGTGCGTGTGCGTGACGTGTCTGCGCTCAGTCTCGGGGTGTGTGTGTGGGTGTGCGTGTGCGTGACGTGTCTGCGCTCAGTCTCGGGGTGTGTGTGTGGGTGTGCGTGTGCGTGACGTGTCTGCGCTCAGTCTCGGGGTGTGTGTGTGGGTGTGCGTGTGCGTGACGTGTCTGCGCTCAGTCTCGGGGTGTGTGTGTGGGTGTGCGTGTGCGTGACGTGTCTGCGCTCAGTCTCGGGGTGTGTGTGTGGGTGTGCGTGTGCGTGACGTGTCTGCGCTCAGTCTCGGGGTGTGTGTGTGGGTGTGCGTGTGCGTGACGTGTCTGCGCTCAGTCTCGGGGTGTGTGTGTGGGTGTGCGTGTGCGTGACGTGTCTGCGCTCAGTCTCGGGGTGTGTGTGTGGGTGTGCGTGTGCGTGACGTGTCTGCGCTCAGTCTCGGGGTGTGTGTGTGGGTGTGCGTGTGCGTGACGTGTCTGCGCTCAGTCTCGGGGTGTGTGTGTGGGTGTGCGTGTGCGTGACGTGTCTGCGCTCAGTCTCGGGGTGTGTGTGTGGGTGTGCGTGTGCGTGACGTGTCTGCGCTCAGTCTCGGGGTGTGTGTGTGGGTGTGCGTGTGCGTGACGTGTCTGCGCTCAGTCTCGGGGTGTGTGTGTGGGTGTGCGTGTGCGTGACGTGTCTGCGCTCAGTCTCGGGGTGTGTGTGTGGGTGTGCGTGTGCGTGACGTGTCTGCGCTCAGTCTCGGGGTGTGTGTGTGGGTGTGCGTGTGCGTGACGTGTCTGCGCTCAGTCTCGGGGTGTGTGTGTGGGTGTGCGTGTGCGTGACGTGTCTGCGCTCAGTCTCGGGGTGTGTGTGTGGGTGTGCGTGTGCGTGACGTGTCTGCGCTCAGTCTCGGGGTGTGTGTGTGGGTGTGCGTGTGCGTGACGTGTCTGCGCTCAGTCTCGGGGTGTGTGTGTGGGTGTGTGTGTGTGTGACGTCTCTGAGCTCAGTCTCGGTGTGGGTGTGGGTGTGGGTGTGTGCGTGTGCGTGACGTCTCTGCCCTCAGTCTCGGGGGGGGGGGTGTGTGACGTCTCTGAGCTCAGAGTCTCGGTGTGGGTGTGTGTGTGCGTGACGTGTCTGCGCTCAGTCTCGGGGTGTGTGTGTGGGTGTGTGTGTGTGTGACGTCTCTGAGCTCAGTCTCGGTGTGGGTGTGGGTGTGGGTGTGTGCGTGTGCGTGACGTCTCTGCCCTCAGTCTCGGGGGGGGGGGTGTGTGACGTCTCTGAGCTCAGAGTCTCGGTGTGGGTGTGTGTGTGCGTGACGTGTCTGCGCTCAGTCTCGGGGTGTGTGTGTGGGTGTGTGTGTGTGTGACGTCTCTGAGCTCAGTCTCGGTGTGGGTGTGGGTGTGGGTGTGTGCGTGTGCGTGACGTCTCTGCCCTCAGTCTCGGGGGGGGGGGTGTGTGACGTCTCTGAGCTCAGAGTCTCGGTGTGGGTGTGTGTGTGCGTGACGTGTCTGCGCTCAGTCTCGGGTGTGCGTGTGTGAGAGACACGCATTAAGAAACCTGTAGAGAACTTGAAGGTCCGTAGAAGCACCACAAAAATGCACAGCGTAGAAGACACAACCTCTTTAAAAAACACCAGTGTGTATTTACCCGTGGAACTCCTCGCCGCAGGAAGTGGCAGAGGCGAGTCTTTGACGCGGGTTCCTGTAGGATCTAGCTAGATGTGTGGGGGTGAGGCCCGTCGATGGCTTGCCCCATCTCCATTAAAAAACACCAGTGTGTATTTACCCGTGGAACTCCTCGCCGCAGGAAGTGGCAGAGGCGAGTCTTTGACGCGGGTTCCCGTAGGATCTAGCTAGATGTGTGGGGGTGAGGCCCGTCGATGGCTTGCCCCATCTCCATTAAAAAACACCAGTGTGTATTTACCCGTGGAACTCCTCGCCGCAGGAAGTGGCAGAGGCGAGTCTTTGACGCGGGTTCCTGTAGGATCTAGCTAGATGTGTGGGGGTGAGGCCCGTCGATGGCTTGCCCCATCTCCATTAAAAAACACCAGTGTGTATTTACCCGTGGAACTCCTCGCCGCAGGAAGTGGCAGAGGCGAGTCTTTGACGCGGGTTCCCGTAGGATCTAGCTAGATGTGTGGGGGTGAGGCCCGTCGATGGCTTGCCCCATCTCCATTAAAAAACACCAGTGTGTATTTACCCGTGGAACTCCTCGCCGCAGGAAGTGGCAGAGGCGAGTCTTTGACGCGGGTTCCTGTAGGATCTAGCTAGATGTGTGGGGGTGAGGCCCGTCGATGGCTTGCCCCATCTCCATTAAAAAACACCAGTGTGTATTTACCCGTGGAACTCCTCGCCGCAGGAAGTGGCAGAGGCGAGTCTTTGACGCGGGTTCCCGTAGGATCTAGCTAGATGTGTGGGGGTGAGGCCCGTCGATGGCTTGCCCCATCTCCATTAAAAAACACCAGTGTGTATTTACCCGTGGAACTCCTCGCCGCAGGAAGTGGCAGAGGCGAGTCTTTGACGCGGGTTCCTGTAGGATCTAGCTAGATGTGTGGGGGTGAGGCCCGTCGATGGCTTGCCCCATCTCCATTAAAAAACACCAGTGTGTATTTACCCGTGGAACTCCTCGCCGCAGGAAGTGGCAGAGGCGAGTCTTTGACGCGGGTTCCCGTAGGATCTAGCTAGATGTGTGGGGGTGAGGCCCGTCGATGGCTTGCCCCATCTCCATTAAAAAACACCAGTGTGTATTTACCCGTGGAACTCCTCGCCGCAGGAAGTGGCAGAGGCGAGTCTTTGACGCGGGTTCCTGTAGGATCTAGCTAGATGTGTGGGGGTGAGGCCCGTCGATGGCTTGCCCCATCTCCATTAAAAAACACCAGTGTGTATTTACCCGTGGAACTCCTCGCCGCAGGAAGTGGCAGAGGCGAGTCTTTGACGCGGGTTCCCGTAGGATCTAGCTAGATGTGTGGGGGTGAGGCCCGTCGATGGCTTGCCCCATCTCCATTAAAAAACACCAGTGTGTATTTACCCGTGGAACTCCTCGCCGCAGGAAGTGGCAGAGGCGAGTCTTTGACGCGGGTTCCTGTAGGATCTAGCTAGATGTGTGGGGGTGAGGCCCGTCGATGGCTTGCCCCATCTCCATTAAAAAACACCAGTGTGTATTTACCCGTGGAACTCCTCGCCGCAGGAAGTGGCAGAGGCGAGTCTTTGACGCGGGTTCCTGTAGGATCTAGCTAGATGTGTGGGGGTGAGGCCCGTCGATGGCTTGCCCCATCTCCATTAAAAAACACCAGTGTGTATTTACCCGTGGAACTCCTCGCCGCAGGAAGTGGCAGAGGCGAGTCTTTGACGCGGGTTCCCGTAGGATCTAGCTAGATGTGTGGGGGTGAGGCCCGTCGATGGCTTGCCCCATCTCCATTAAAAAACACCAGTGTGTATTTACCCGTGGAACTCCTCGCCGCAGGAAGTGGCAGAGGCGAGTCTTTGACGCGGGTTCCTGTAGGATCTAGCTAGATGTGTGGGGGTGAGGCCCGTCGATGGCTTGCCCCATCTCCATTAAAAAACACCAGTGTGTATTTACCCGTGGAACTCCTCGCCACAGGAAGTGGCGGAGCTGAGGGCTTGACATGGGTTCCCAAAGGTGCTCACTAGACTCATGGGGGTGAGGCCCATGAATTAGCCAGGGTAGGTAGGAATGGTGCTGTTTAATACTGCGGGGGAGGAAGAAACGTGGGCAAGGCCGCGGTTCAGTGGCGGAGGGCTGCCCCCCTGCCCCCTTGCTCAGGCCTTCTCCCTGCAGGAGGCGATCCAGCTGGACGGGGAAATCCTCTTCTCGCTGCTGCGCCGGGTGGCGCCGGCGGCTCACAAGCACCTGAGCAAGCACAAAATCGACCCCATCCTCTACATGACGGAGTGGTTCATGTGCGCCTTCTCCCGCACCCTGCCCTGGAGCTCCGTGCTGCGCGTCTGGGACATGTTCTTCTGCGAAGGTTCGGCCTGGCGTGGTGCACATTCCCCCCCGCCTCGGTGCGCGCGATAAAATTATTCCGCACGTGGCTGGAAAAAATTCCACGTGGGTGGGAAAGCGCAGCAGACGTGTTCACCCCAGCTGCTGTTTGGTCTTGTGCCGGGGAGGGCCGGATTTCAGGCCCCAGCTCGTCCCATCTCCATTAAAATAGACCATTGTGTATTTCCCTGTGGAACTCCTCGCCGCAGGAAGTGGCAGAGGCGAGTCTTTGACGCGGGTTCCCGTAGGATCTAGCTAGATGTGTGGGGGTGAGGCCCCTCGATGGCTTGTGGTGACTCCTCTTCCGTGTCCCAGCATGCCGTGGGTGTGGGGTGGAGAATCCCTGCTTGCCGTGACAAATGTGGCCGGGGCGGGGCCGTGTGGTGGGAAACCTCCCAGCTGCTGCGGGGCGGGGTGGCTCTAACCCGCTGGCGGCGCTGCTCTTCCAGGGGTGAAGATCCTCTTCCGGGTCGGGCTGGTGCTGCTGAAACACACGCTGGGCTCCTCCGAGAAGCTGAAGTCCTGCCAGGGGCAGTATGAGACCATGGAGCGGCTGCGCGCGCTGAGCCCCAAGATCATGCAAGAGGCCTTCCTGGTGCAGGAGGTGAGGAGTCCATGTCCCCCCCCCCCCCGGGCCAAGCCCGGGGTCTTGCCACCCCCCCCCGGGG